GCGAGCGCCCCGCCTGGACGGACCGGTGAAGGGCCGCGGAGGGGGAGGAGCGGGAGCTGAGCGAGGCGGGCGGGCGGAGGATGGGGCCGTGCCCGGGCTCCCGCTGCAGCCGCCCGGGGACACGCCGTGCACCCTCCGGCTCGGGGCTCTCGCGGCGGCGGCGGCGGTAGCGTTAGCGGCGGCGGCGACAGCGGCGTTCCCGGCGCTTCCTGGCCGCGCTTCTCCCTCGGGCTGGGCGAAGAGAAGAGGCAGCGGCGGCGGCGGCACATCGGTGTCTCTCCCGCTGGAGATTTCTTTCTGCTTTCCTCGTCGACTGACTCACCCCTTCCCTTTTTTGAGGAAGGGTGACCTCTTCTCTGGGACTGGAAAAAAATTTTTTTTGAGGGGTGGGGGGTGGGTGGCAGCGTCAGGGTCTGCTTCTTCTCTTCTTTCATCTCCTCTCCTCCCCCCTCCAGGACCGAAAAGCGAGCCCCACAACTGCTCCAGCATCCTCCTTCCCTTCCTCCACCTCCCTTCTCCTCCACCTCTTCCAGTTTCGCCCTCTTCCCTCCCAATTATTTCATTATTATGCTTCCCTCTCTGGGGGGTCTCGTCCCTCTCAGGTCGCTCGGAAGCCTTGGCCTCCCTTGGATGCATTTCTTAAAAATTTTGGAGCCTGGGAGTGAGTTTTCTCTGAGGCGTGTGTGAGAGGCGGCGGGGGTGTTTTCCTGCGCGAGGGGCGGGTGAAGTTCATTGCCCCCACTTTCCCGCGACCTTTTCGGACCCGGTTTCGAATCGGGGGGCCGGCGTTTTTTCGGGGGGCGGGGGGCGCGGCGGAGAATGGCCGCGGGGAGGGCTCCCCGGAGCCTCCCAGTCTCTTGATCAAAGCATTCCGCTATTCTGATTTATTGCCTGCTTGGTGAGTTATTTTTTTTGCCTCTAAAGGAGACCTGTGTGTTCAGCCATTACTTTGCTCGGCGCTGCTCACAGGAATCTCCGACCCGCGGTGCTGTGGGGAGCCCCGCACTTGGGCTCCTCGCCTCTCGCCCTCGCTCCCGTCCCTCCTCCCTCTCTCCGCCCCTTCCCCCTTCTCTTTCTCCTCTCTTTCTTCCCCTCTCTCCCTTCTTTCGGCCGCCGTCTCCCCCGCGCCCTCCACGGGGCGGAGGGAAGCCGAGGAGGGGGAGGGAGGGGTTGGTGTCAATTTTTTTGTGTGGCCGCGGCCGGAGCCTGTGGCGGGCGGGCGGCAAGCGGGGAGACCCCGGCGCGGCAGAGCCATGGATGGCCCGACGCGGGGCCATGGACTCCGCAAAAAGCGGCGGTCGCGGTCGCAGCGAGACCGGGAGAGGCGCTCCCGGGGCGGGCTGGGGGCCGGCGCGGCCGGCGGCGGCGGGGCCGGCCGGACCCGGGCGCCCTCGCTCGCCTCGTCGTCGGGCTCCGACAAGGAAGACAATGGGAAGCCCCCGTCCTCCGCCCCGTCCCGGCCCAGACCCCCGCGGAGGAAGCGGAGAGAGTCCACCTCGGCCGAAGAGGACATCATTGATGGATTTGCCATGACCAGCTTTGTCACTTTTGAAGCGCTGGAGGTAAGGGGGACCCCCTCCCCCCGGTTTCCCTTTATGCACGACCCCACTCGGCTGTGCCCGGCTCCGCTACCTCCCCCGCCGCGCTCCGGTCTGTCTGGCTGGCTGTCTGTCTAGGCTGAGGTCTTATTGTTGGGGGGAGAGCTGGGGGCGCGGGCAGACAGGCAGCAGGAGGGAATCGCAAAGCCGTGCCTGGTCTCCTCGTTTCCTCGTTCTCGCTCGCCTTTCGCCTGCGCCCCCTCCCTGCACCCCTTCCTCAGCAGATGGGCAGGGAGAAAGGGGTTCAGGCATCACAACAATGCGCCCCCCTCCACGGATAGCTCTGCCCCTACTCCTTCCTCCTCTCCCTCCCCAATCATGGCTTCTTGGCTGGTGGAAGTCTCTTTGCTGGGTTTGGGGCGCCTGTGGACCGTTCTCTGTGTGCTTTCTACAGAACCATATGTCCGTGTGTGTGTGTCTGTATAGTATATACCTTTCCTGGTTCTGGGTGTCCTCGGGACTGGAGACTGATGGGGTTTTGTCTTTGCCCCCCCCCCCGCTTTTTTTTTTTTTTTTTTTTGGTGAAGCTGGGGAAGGGGGCGTTTTCTCTCGGTTGGGAGAAAGGAGGGAGGAGGGGAGAGAAGAGAGGAAAGGATGGAATATCTCCCTGTATTCTATGTGGGGCTATTACAGAAAGGGTTAATTATAATATCTATACACATAGGAACATTTGTGTGTGTGTGTGTGTGTGTGTGTACACGAGCAGTTTGGTTAAAGGACGGAAAAAGGTACACCAGGGAAGACTGGTGGGAGGAAGGAATAAAATCCTGGCTGGTATCTGAAGGGCTTGTCACTGAATTGTCCCTCTCCCTTTCCTTTTTTTGTTTTCTTTTCTTTTTCTTTCTGATTGGCTTTGTGTGTGTGTGTGTGTGTGTCTTTCTTTATTCCTTGGGCACCTGCAGCGTTCATTTCCAAATGCACATTTTCCTGCCAGCTACCCGCTCCTGTGGTGGGGGGGGGAGTAGACAGAGATTGTCCAGGGGCCTGGGGTAAACTATCTTTACCTGGAGAGATCAGATTTGGTGCTGGCATCAGTCATTGGCCTCTACAGATGTAACCCCCTTTCTTCCCCCGCACCTCCCTGTCCCCACCCCCAACACACCACACACACACAGAAGGCTTTGAGATTCTGCAGAGTTGGTCCCGCTTTCTTAAGGACAAAACCCAGATAGGAGTTGGTTTCTAGTATTTCATGCACCTGATGTGATGGTTTGAGGTTCCTGAAGGAAACTTTTCCCTTTCCCTTTGGTTTTTTTGCTGTTATTATGGTATTGTTTGAGATGATCAGATGGAAGCTTTGTTAATGACAGCTTAAATCTCACATGCAGTAACTGTACAGGTTTAGATGGCTGGTTCTGTGTGTGTGTTTGGGTGTCAGGTCTAAATATTTTTAAAAAGGAAGCTTTCCTGTCAGGGCTCTTCTTTTCTCTTTGAACTGCTTTTTGGTTGGGCCGGTGGTGGTGGTGGTGGTGGTGGTGGAGGAGGATGGTGCCCAGTGGTTGGGGAGGAAAGGAGGTTGGTGGTGGTGGTATTGGTGGCCATAGATTTTGATGTTAGAGATTGAATCAGTTGCCCTTTGGTTCTAGAACTTGTGATTATTGGCTAAAATGGATCTTACACAATTATTTTGAGTGTTGAAGCTCACCACTTAATAGGATAATTCTAACTGTGGCTTTAACTTTGCCAAGGTGGGAGGGTACTGTACAGTGTGACCTCTCTCTCGCTTTGAAATAGTAATTGAAGTGGCAGCATGTATTCTAATAGGAAATGCTGCCTAGAATTTGGTTCACCATTGCTATCTGTGGTTGATTTAGGACATTATTTGTAAGAGCTGGTTACAAGTGGTTCTGCTTTCTGCATGGTTATTCTGGGTTGCTGCGTGGCCCCTCACAGTAAGTAAGTTAAGAGGGGCCTGCATTTTCCCATGAACATTTTTGAAGGCCAAGTAAAGGTAGATAATGACTTATGCAGTTTTTTTTATTTCTATTTTGTTTAACAGATATTTGACTGGGCTTGAGATGTATACGTCTATCCATTTAGGTTTTGAGAGAAAATGTGCCCATTCTGGTTTCTTTGGAGTTTTAAAAAACTTTTAATTTTTAGAGAAGATCAAGTTCAGAGTGTAGCATTAATAACATTCCTTTCCTTGCTGTGGTTATTTTTTCTGCTGCTTTTCCAGATTCAAAGCCCAGGTTACTTTGGTTAGCTGAATGCTGTGCTACCTTCATATTTAAATATCATCTACATATCTGTATGTAGGTTTAAAAGGTCTTTTTAAAAAGTTCCCTTAAAACTTTACAGAAAAATTTAAACATACAAAAGTAGAGAGAACAGTATAATAAACTCTAATATTCCCAACACCCAGGTTCAACAACTACCAACTCATGTCTCATCTGTATCCCATCTACTCCCTGCTCCCAGATGGGATATGAGAAATAAGTAAATATTTCTGTATGTATCTCTAAATGGTAATGACTCAAAAAGAAAACCCACCAGAAACTCTACAGTTCCGTTATCACACCTAAATAAATTAACAACAGTCTTCTAATATTCTTAACTATCCTGTCACTATTCACATTTAAGGGGCCTGGCTTTTGTAGGAAAGCTATAAATAAACTTTTCATATTAAAAACATGCAGTGGGGAATAAAAATCATCATATATGTCTGGTTCTGTGGGAAAAGTTGGATCCGTTAGCTGCTTACCACATTTGTGTGCCTGTTGGATGGTCAGACATACGTGTGTAGTGACTATTAAAACCTCTTTTGTCTCACTGTTCTCAGTTTACAAGATTGACTGAACTATCACCACGAAATATGAGGATTTATTGGGAAATAGGCAAGTAAACTATGAACTTGGACAGAAATACATGTTAATGGAGTGCTTGTAAATGTTAGGAATTATTATAGATGCCAAGAGTTACCATAAGTACCTAATACGTTTTTGGGCCTTGTGTTTAGAAATGAAATAAGTTGTCACCACATATCCACCAGGGCTGCTGCTAGTATGATGTGATAAGAAACTAGAAATCTTGGCTTGCACAGCTAGGCTTGGAGCTTATGCTGGCTCAGAGTACTAGCCAGCAAACTGTGGAGGGTGCGTACTTAGAATGTTAACGGGTTTATTTGACTCCATGATTTTGTCCTGAGTAGCTGATTTTGACTTCCCTTTTAAAAAAGAAGAGGCTCCTAAGTCATGATGAAGTGTGCTGATAAAAACTGTTCCAGTTCAACTATGGTTTTACTGATACTGGAGTAAAAGCAAGAAACTTGCCTAATGAGAACCTGCATTTTTAAGTTAATTATTTTTCACTATCGTCTGATTTTTATTTAAGATGATGAAAGCTATAGGAGTAGTTTGAGAAGTCCCACACTTTATAGGCAGTGAAACTGGCTTGAGGTGGTTTCATATTCTCCAGGGACACTTGTCGTGAGTAATTGTGCCCTGAAGTTCAAGTATATGATTGTGAAGAGTCTCATGATAGAAGATAAAGAGGGTAGGTGAGGAGGCTAAAGTTGAACGTGGTGTTCTTTTCATTATGCGTTTGAGAAGCAGGATTACCATTTGGATATGATATTGTTTATTTGAATATTCTTTGAGTGATAGGTTGAGAGCGAATGTCCCCAGATACCAAGCCTCATTTCTTTTTTAAATGGCCTCCAGCCAATGAAGTCTAAATGGAAATGTTGGGGTTCTAGTACTGTCTGTACCCTGATGTGCCAGATAACACCAACTTTCTGTTCTTATTTGGGTTTCTTTCTGTGTAGTCTTGATTAAGAAGCCACACGAACACCATTGCTGAAAATTTCACTTTGCAAATCCATCATTTCCCCTCCCTGTTATGCATTGGGTTTTAAGGGCAGTCTCTCTCTGTAAAACTGACCAAGGGAAGCAGAGATGAAGTTGGTGGGATTAGCAGACAGGAAGCCAGTTGGAGTTTTGCAGGCTTGTGAAAATGAAGGAAGACTTATTTCTGGTGGTTAGAGGATCAAACCAAGACTTTCATGTGGTCTTCATTTCCTAGTTGTTTCAGGGCTTACCTACACATTGGTAACGTAAATAGGCTGTGCAGAATTTGATGTACTTACAAGATACTGTAATTTACTATGGTCAAATCTCACATATTTCACTTGTTTAAAAAACATTAGTCATGTTCCTTGAATCAGCAAATATTTATGGAGTGCCTAGAAAGAGTGGAAAGAAACCTAAAATATATGTAGCGTCTTGAGGGGGATGTAGTTGATAAATTAAGTCCAGCACTTATAAAATAATTTTCGTGAAACAGGCGCTCGAATGTCTAATACCAACTAAGTGCAGTGAGCCTTCACAGAAGGAGTAGTGAGATAGGCTGGTGTTCGAGAAGGCTTCTTGGTGAAGATGGGGCCTAGAAGGTTGAAGAAATTTAGATAGATAGGGAGTGGGAGATGGGGAGAGCCCTCTAAGGAGAGGGAATCCTGAGGAAGCACAGCAACGAGAGGATTGAGAAGATGCTATTTGATTAGGGCTTGGGGGCAAGGAAGGGCTGGTAGAAATGAGTTAACAGAATTGTGTAAGCAGACACCTACGCAGACCCATGTTCCAAGCTTGGCCCTCCTAACTAGTTGACAGACTTTGGGAAGTTACTCTCTAAAAGCATATTTTCTTCATTCCTTAGTCGAGAGGTTTAGACTAATTTTAGAGCAAAGGTACCCAAGATGGAAGGGAGCCTAGCTCTGCTGGATGTTCATAAGTTTTGTTCCAGATCAAAAAAAGTGTGATCTACCCTCAAGTCATTTTGGAACTTGAGGGGTAAGACAAAATTAAATGGGTGACTTGTTCTGCCAGAATGAAAGGTCTTTTTATTATGCAGATGTGAATTTTGAATATCAGAGAAGGCAATGCGGATGTGCCTTATTTCCTAAATTTATTTGACCACAGGGCACTCTTACTCTTGGCATTGCAATCCATAATCCAATATGGGGAATG